GTGCTTTTTAATTACTATCCACTTACATGGTGAAACATGACTCAAGTTCTTTACGAACCTGTAAAGAAGTTTTAGGTGTTAAAAGAATTACGAAACTTTCAAACCAAGTGACCAAACAGGGAGCTGCCAAATGTGCACATTTAAAAGGGCCCCTAAATCTTCCTTTTAGATAGCTGAGTTCATCTGAGCCAGTGTTGACCAATCATTGTGTTTATAAATGCCTCAACATACTGATAAACAAGGAAATTAAACTCCATTCTGGGAATTACTGCATTATTTGGTTTATATCCGTGCTTATTACATATTAAGTTTATACGTTATTTTCCAGGTCCCCCCGGAGACAAAGGCCAAAAAGGTAGCACTGGACATTATGGGAAGATGGGTCCCGCTGGACTCAAAGGTAAGCTTGAGAAAGAAATTGCAGTTCTGAAAGTAATCAGGCTTGTTTTGTCTCACTGCTTAATAATGCAATAGGCTTCTTTTTTTCTAGGTATAAAAGGTGATATGGGAGATCCAGGACCCAAGGGCCCAAATGGAGAGCCAGGTATAGGCCTTTCCGACATAGAATTCAGTTCATATCAGTTGATAATTGGTTTGAACTCATTAGGAACCAGTTTAATGCTTGGACTGCTCATGTGAATGGTCTCGTATTTAATTTGTCTCCTCAGGCATCCCCTGTGAGTGCGCACCCTTACGGAAAATGATTGGTGAAATGGATATTCAAGTGACGCAATTAACCAATGAGCTGAAGTTCATTAAAAATGGTATGTCCAAAAGAAAGAATGAATCAGTCTACCAATGTTTATGAGATTACAATAATATGATGTTGTCAAGTTGATTCATACAGTTGTTCATTTTGATATGCAGGGTGATTGCACACAGACAAAAGTATTTACCCATTAGCCAGAAGCTCTTTTGTTTGACTGTCAGAATGCACTTGTGTGAACGCTGGCTGCTGCCGTGTGATTATAGAAATTCAGATCCTCATTTTTCAGCCCTGCCCTCCCCCGCAGCTGTCGCTGGCATCAAAGAGACAGACAGCAAGGTCTATCTGCTGGTGAAGGAGGAAAAACGCTACAGGGACGCGGAGGTGTTTTGTCAGGGGCGAGGTGGACACCTGGCTATGCCCAAAGATGCGGCGGCTAACAGAGCCATCGCTGGCTACGTCACTGAAGCTGCCCTCAGTAGAGTGTATATCGGCATTAATGACCTGGAGCGAGAAGGCCACTTTGTGTATGTGGAGCGCTCACCCATGACCACTTTCAGCAAGTGGAGGGAGGGCGAGCCAAACAACGCTTACGATGACGAGGATTGCGTCGAGATGGTGTCTTCAGGCGAGTGGATCGATGTGGCTTGTCACCTCACTATGTACTTTGTGTGTGAGTTTGACAAGGACACAGTATGAGCTTCACTGCCAATCTATAGGGGGAAAAGTCATTTTAGACATGTTTAAAGTACTCCGGTATTAAAGAAGGCTGAAATTTCAATAAAAAAGTTACGTACTTCTACATTTTGTCATCTTTGGCAACGATGACGGCAGTGTGACATGCTAGGCGACATGTAAAACAGTTTAAAACAACATTTAATTATTATTATTATTATACACTGCAGTTCAAACATTTAGGGTCAGTAAGATTTTGAATGTTTTAAGCGCTTACCAAAGTTTTGTAGTTAAATTATTTTCAAATGTAATTAATTTTTGTGATGGCCAAGCTGAATTTTTTAGCAGCCATTGCTCCACTCTTCAGTGTCACATGATCCTTCAGAAATCATTCTTATAAGCTGAATTGCTGCTTAGGAAACACTTATTATTATTATCAGTGTATCGATGTTCAAAAGTACAGCATTTTAGGGAAAACATTTTTTTTTGTAACATTATTAATGTCTTTACTATCTGGTTGTTTAAAACCTTATATCAATTCAGAGACTGTATGGAATATATGTACTTTAAAAAATGTTTTTTTTTTTAATCACACTGCAGGAATATACGTTATACAGATCAGTTAACATATGTAGACCAATCACAATTTTTCAGGTGTTATTGCAGACTGAGACACCTTTACTGTGAAAAGTGGACAACTAGTTTACTAAACTACATTTACTTGTAATCAGTTAAATAAATGAACAATAAAACTTTCCTATTATCTTGTTATATTTACAATTTCAGATTCCACTGATTTGACCTTTTTCTTATTGCTTTTCTCTTTTACTACCTTTCTTCCCATTCAAATTTGAATTACATGGTTTATTATTAATATACTGAATAGGTCAGCATACTCATAGAACTAGCTAACAAGAGCAGATTTACATAACACAGTCTTAGACCGAACTGTAGGGTTGAGGTTAGAAATTGTATTTTTAATGGTCAATTTATTCTCCCCAGTAAAATGACTGAAATGGCTGTCCCAGTTTACCAGTAGTACACCATCCCATTTATTTAATACATTATTGGCAGAATGGAACAGAGTCAAGGTCACATAAGGATCAATAGATGGTATATGTTGTATACTACCCATCATATTAAGTCATTTTATAACCTTAGCATGTTTTGAGGTTATAAATGTGGTATGAAATGCCCTATGAAATGCTCTTTTGACATCCCATCCCACAGTAGTTGATTTTTTATCAATAGATGACTGTACACATACATAGAATACAGTACACATGCCCATATTGCTTATATCATAAATAATACCATTATTTGGTTTCTTGAGAATGTACTTTTCTTTAACTGTTCCTACTAATTCTGTGTAATGGTAGTAAATATGGTAAATTATTTCTAAAACATGATAGATACTCGAAGGATTCATGATACTACATGTATTTTATGTGGCTTTGGTATTTTCAGTAATCACTCAAAAAATATTTGTATATCATGATCAACAGGCGTTGTCTTAAAACATTCGTTGTCTGTTTTTAGTATTTCTATGTGTCTTTTTTCAAGCACTAATAAAATCCCATCACTCTGCAAGGTTTCTTCATCTTTGTCTTAACGCCATTCAGTGAGTAGGCCTATGTTAAAGTAGTGATCTGTCGCTCTCTAGTGGTCACGTGTGGCTCTACAACACTGATTATTTTCGCTTACTGTATTGGCTGACAAGGTCAAGCCGTCCTGGAATTAACTATGCATGAAAATATTACAGCAGGCAGGAAATCTGATTAATTTGGGGCAAAGTGGCAATCTGTACACCTCTGTTGCACGTATAACAGTGTTTTTCCTCATAAATCTTTAAAGATGGAAGGTGCTTAAATTTCATAATAGGTCTTTAGAATGAACTTTACAGACATAATCAGGCGACCTGCTTGTGTAAACTGATCTGTTATTCTACACTGGCCATCACACCAAACAGACAATGGCATAAGGAACCTATCCTGCCATAAACTATATACTGAGACCATAAATCTGCTAATCATCAGTAATAAATCAGCCTGACCAGTGGCAAAATTGTCTTTATTAAAATATGGCAATAAACATTTTCATTTGAATTTTCAGTTAATGAAAAGATTTACATAAAATCAATAATAAAAAATATTTATAAATAAATTGTATTTTTATAAATGTTATTTAACAAACAAATAAATAAATAGGCCTACAAAATGTGTCACTCTATGTTGTAAAAAGTGGTAACCTGTGTTACCTTGAAGAGCTATTTCTACCTGATTTAATCCATATAAAATAGTTTTGTTAATATAAATTAAATATAAAAGTATAAGTTAATATAAAAAAGTGATGTTAAATAATATGTTTGACTTGAAGAAAACCAGTTAACTTATGTTTTTGTCATGAATATGTAATTTATGATGTTACCATTTTTAGGTTGCTATCTTTTCAGTGCATGGCCTATTGCTTCATTAAATGATATATAATGATTCCGCTTTATTATTATTAATATTAATAATTTTAATGAATATAATTCGCCCTATAACATTCTTGTCCTTTTTTGTCTTATTTACCCCGTTTTAGTTTATGTAGGCATATAAATTTTTTTCCTTCATTCACATGCATTTGTCCCTTTATTTCAAGTCACTTTTGCTAATACTAGCAAGTTTCTGGAAAAGTTCTTGAAAGGTTAAAGTTCATGGGAAGAATTTTTTTTTCCTTCATTCACATGCATTTGTCCCTTTATTTCAAGTCAAATTTCAAGTCACTTTTGCTAATACTAGCAAGTTTCTGGAAAAGTTCTTGAAAGGTTAAAGTTCATGGGAAGAAGATGGCGTTCAAAGGTGCATGATTTCCCAACGCATTAAAAAAAAAGGCTGTAGTGTTTTTTTTCGTAGTTCATTTCCACTGATGTTACAATGTATAATGTTCTTGTAAAAAAAGTGCAACATAGCCTATTACTTTTATGCTGCCTTCACATAAATACGAGGTTGAAGGCAGTGTTAGCGAATTCAGATAAAATAATAGTTAAAAAAATAATAAAGTAAAAAAAAAAAAAATTCGTTATAAAGACTATTAACCATTTTTAGATGGAAAAAATCACGTTGACACCTATTGATGAAATTGATATTTTTGAAAAGCTGACCTACAAAACACTGTCTCCGACGACAGGAGTAAGTAATACACTGATTAAAATTTAATCTATTGTTTGGCGGTTGTCTAAGATAGGCTAATTGGATGCCTGACCGCGGCCGCTAAATCTCCAGTTACCTCAGAGCACAGACTAAATTAGAACAAAACACTTTTTGTTTTACCCAAGCTATCAAAATAAAAATAAATCTATACAACCGATTACGTATGCTATAATTTTGTTAGTTCAAAGAGAGTTGAGGCATTGTAGCAGTCTTGCCATTTCTTGCTATTTTCTTAGCGTTTCACTCCGTTACTATGGAAACTCGTCCAAACAACATCTGGCTGCCTCCAGCACGCGGAAGAGAACGATTCAAACAACTTTTAACAACTTTCGGTTGTGGTTACTAAAATTCTGTTTTATTTATATATTTAATTTGGGCTTGTCAGCACCTCCCCGTGGATTACCGCGGAGTTGTTTTCGTTCATAATGTCTGGACGGGGGTCTTATGCGCATCCTCCGCCAACCAAAGCGGTTATTGTGTTCAGGAACGGAGATGCTTTTTATCCCGGCCGAAAGTTTGTTATCAATCAACGCCAGTCATCCACTTTTGACAGCTTTCTGAACACGGTCACTCGAGGCATCACAGCTCACTTTGGGGCAGTGCGAAATATTTACACCCCTAACAAGGGTCACAGGGTGGCGAATCTGGAGCAGCTGGTGCATGGAGAGATATATGTGGCAGCCGGAGCAGAGAGACTTAAAAAAATGGAGTAAGTTTATTCATCCACATAATGGTAACAGTGCAGTTATTTACAAGAGAGTAGCTAAATTGCTGTGGTATTATGTTGAATGGTTGATTTTTAGTAAACTTTATTGATTATGAATTAAATTCATGTAAAATCTTAGCAGCCTAATACAGGGTAGAATAGCCTATGATAGGCTAACGTTAATATGTACAGAAAGTGTACATTTTAATTGAATTACATTTTACATTGCAATGCAAAACCATCAGAATAATATACTTATGTTATATTATATTGACTTTATACTTTCTCTCTTCTTTTGTCTTTGATAGCTATGATCACATAACAACACAGAAACCTCCAAAAAAGAAAAGTGAACCGGTAAGAGTCACAGTAACTACATCATTCTTGATAGAATGATAAAACAACATAAAACCTTTTCTCATTCTATCAAGACATGAACGCTAACGTTAATATGTACAGAAAGTGTACATTTTAATTGCATTACATTTTTTAAATTTTACATTACAATGCAAAACCATCAGAATAATATACTTATGTTATATTATATTGACTTTATACTTTCTCTCTTCTTTTGTCTTTGATAGCTATGATCACATAACAACACAGAAACCTCCAAAAAAGAAAAGTGAACCGGTAAGAGTCACAGTAACTACATCATTCTTGATAGAATGATAAAACAACATAAAACCTTTTCTCATTCTATCAAGACATGAACGATTTAAAAATGGGGACAACTTTATTCTATATGTGAAACATACCGTGGATATGTATGAGAATGTTTTGTACATCAGGAAGGTCAAGAGGAAAAAATATCCATGGTAAATCATAACATGTTTTCAGTATGATTATTACTGGTGTTCTTCATCCTACATTTTTCTGTTATTGACTGATACATCTCTCCGGCAGAATATCAGTGTAAGGTTTACCCAGACTGTAGCGGATGACTGATTTTATGCCCCTTGTTGCGGAAAAACATGAAGTATTAATTGTATTGATTTCACTATAAAATCTCCATTCGAGTCAGCTGTTTCTCTTCATTTCAAACTATCAGGTAGCCTATGTGTAGGACAGTCTCTGAATACTAGGGGAGTTTTCTGACTACTCATAAAATTACTTTAGGTTATTAATCAGCATTCAATGCAAGTACTGCGCAAATGCTTTATGTTACTTATTAGAGACTCTTACCTCTAATTTCTGTTCATTTTCTAGTGTATACAGTAAAACAATGGCAAATTTCAAAACTTCCCTCCTTCCTTTACTCACAAGAACTTTATTCGCCCCGCCAGTAAATTGGCTTAGTTATTACCTACATCCACTGATGTAGACCATTAAATCTTTATGCTGCCTCAGAAGCCCGTCCGAAATCAGTTTTGTCACAGCTGTTTAACTGTTTACAATCAGCTGTTGAATAATTACAAAAGATGTTGTTATGCCACAGTTAAACACAAGGGTGTTCAGCCCTGCTATGGAGTTCTGTCTTCCCTCAGAGTTCAGTTCCACTCCTGTTCACACACCTGTCTGTGATTTTTCACGCAAACCCCAGACCTTGATTATCTGCATCAGGTGTTTTTCATTAAAGTTGGAGCTAAACTCTGCAGGAATGTGAACTATTAGTCAGCAGTAGCACAATATAAGCTATTTGATATCTAAAAATATAATAAAAACAATAATACTGTGAAATATTATTGCATTTTAAAATAACTGTTTTGTATTTGAATGCATTTTAAAATGTGATTTTTTCCTGTGATGGCAAAGCCGAATTTTCAGCAGCTGTTACTTTATTCTTCGGTGTCACATGATCTGTTTTGCATAGGATTCAAATCAGCAGTCAAAAGATTCAGGCTTTGTACTATTCCAAGTTTGGACTATTTGAAGTGACTTATTAAGCTAATAGTTTTTACAACCTTCCTCAGAGACCAACATGCAATGGACCATAATAGAGCAATAATCATAAAAATGCCCACTTAGAGTGACTTTACTTGAGGTTATGGCAGTATATGTCACTGTCTGTCACCCTTTTAGCTCCTTGTTTCCATCTGAACAACAACCAACATAGCATTAAAGACGGCTGATTGAGGAAAACCAGATGTGTAAGTGCCCTAAATGAGCAGTGGAACAGTTATTGTCAGTGATGCTCAGCGGGGTCCTGTTCATTTGTCTCCACTGCAGATCCAACCTGTAGTTCACAGCAGAATAATTGTCCCAGCTCGATGGAAGAGAATCAGTAATGAGTCGTGCATCATCAAGTGAGCCCTGCTTTTAATGTGTCCCTATTGGAAGTCTTCAATGGCAAAGCCTCAGGCTACGGCAAAGTCTAATTCTTTAAAGCTGTAATACTGTCTAATGGTATAAAATCAGGCCGATGTTCTTTGCTTTATTTAATTATTTATTTCTAATGGCATCTAATTTCCTCATGTTGTTAATTATCAGTGTATATTGGCTTTGTTTCTGATAACAACATATTTGGAAGCATAAATGTGTGGATTGAGGTCCTAAGTGCTAAATTTGATTATATCTTGTAGTGTTTTTACCAATGGAGATATCTTGGTTCCTCCAGCACGGGTGCTGATTCCCAAACACACGCTTGCTAGCTGGGAAAACGTATTGGCCACGGTGACCGAGAGAGTTCACCTTCGCACTGGAGCTGTGCACAGGTACGAGCTACATCTATAAAATGTGCATGTGTAAAAAGTATGTATAGTCAATGTTGAGTGATCTCACTCCTTTCAGATTGTGCATGCTGAATGGGAGGCCTGTACGTGGATCGTATGAGCTACAGAACAACCACTATTATGTTGCTGTAGGGACAGAGAGATTCCAGTCTTTGCCATATCATCTGGCCCCAAGCAAGGGAGTAATCCACAATATCACCGATGTGGCAACCACTATTATGTTGCTGTAGGGACAGAGAGGTTCCGGTCTTTGCCATATCATCTGGCCCCAAGCAAGGGAGTAATCCACAATATCACCGATGTGTGAGAAAGATTATAAGACATGATAATTGCAATGACAGTAATTAACAGATGTATAATGCCCTTTTGTTGAACTTTCTTCTAGTAAAATTGCCATCATTAACTAACTTTTTGCTATTCAAAACCTGTATGACTGACTTTCTTCCATGGAGTACAAAAGGCGTAGGACAGAAAAGCACTATAGAAATAGTCCTCGTTTGAAGTCATATGATTGATTCTATGCAGGTATACAGAAATTTGAACAAGTTACATTACTGTTTAAAAGTTTGAATATTTTTGAAAGAAGTCAACAATACAATAAAACAGTAATACTATCACTTATTTTTTAAATTATTTGAAAATATTTTAAATATAGTGTAATATATTTTTAAAATGTCATTTATTCCTGTTATGGGAAAGCTGAATTTTCAGTGGCCATTATGCCAGTCTTTAGTGTCACATGATCCTTCAGAAATTATTCTAATAATCTGATTTGCTGCTTAAGAAACATTTCTTATTATTGTCAATGTTGAAAACAGTTGTGATGCATTTTTCAGGATTCTTTAAATCAATAGTTCAAAAGAACAGCATTTGAAATATAAATCTTTTTTGTAAAATTATATACACATCTATACATCTTTCCTGTCACTTTTGCTGAATAATAATATTTATTTCATTAAAAAAAACTAATACTGACCCTTAATTGATTGATTGGTAGGGTATATTAAATGTAAAATAACCAGACAATACATCTAGTAAAATGAATATTTTTGTAAATTATAGAATGAATAATAAATAAGAAAAAAATTATTTTGGTTTAAAAACATAATACTATGTTAACTATGTTACTAGTTAACTAGTATATTATGTTTAACTATGTTACTATGTTAAACATAATGATACTGTTTTTCACAGAATAAAGAAAGCAGTCAGGTTTGGAACAAGCAGAGTACAAGTACATGATAACGGACCTTTTTTTTTTTTTTGGTTAAATTATTTCTTTGTTTTCCTCTTTTTCTTAGGGTCAACAATGGCATTCATCCAGTTCTAAAAAAAGAAAAACAAGACAGAACTTTGGTAAGGATAATGAAATATATTTTTTAAACCATTTAACAGATAAAAAATGTGTATATTATAGATGGCATCGATGTGATTACATTACATTATATATTCATATATGAATCACGATTCTGTCTTCTAACGATTCTAATGGATTCTGTTTACAATACAACCGGAGCACATGCCGCCGAGGTGAGGGGCGAGACGTTTAGACGCGCACTAGAGGTGGTTTAGCCAATCACAACACACTGGGCTAGCTAACCAATCAGAGCCCATCGCCTATTTCTGAGGGAGGGGCTTCATAAATGAAGGAAATGATCAGCCCGTTTATGGGAGAAGGGACCAGTGGTGTGGAATAAAGGTAAATTGTGTGAAAAATAATGCGTTTTTAAAAAAACAAAGCATTAACACATGTTAGACTGCACCCCATAAACACAATCAAGCCTAGAAAAAACCCCACCTCTTTAAGTAAATATTTAATGAAAATGCTGGTATTGATTTTGCACAGTCAAAGACTAATAGGCTAATTCTTCAGAAGGCAGGGATGAACACAAGCAAATGAGCCTGTTTTGACAGTGTGGAATGCCATATTAGTCTTATTTGCTCTGTTCTTGAACTGTAATATGGAGATTAAACATAGCGCAGAGCTAATGTCCTGAACTAGTTTACAAGACACCGATCTTGATCAGCACCCATCCCTTTCCCCTCAGACCGAAACCAGTTAGTGAGAAAATTTCAATTTGGGCCAGATATAAATTGGCTACTGTTCATTAGTGTTGAAGATCAGATAGTTGAGAAAAATGTTACCGTCACAGGATCTCAATGTCTCCAATCAGGCTGATATGTGGCAGTGCGAGTTGGGAGCGGGTACATTCACCTCATCAATCACTGTCTGTAGGAGGTATTGAGTTCTTCTCACCTCTCCTTTTTCAAACTGTCCCACCGCTCAGAGTTTGTGTTACTTGATCAAGTGAGAGCCGAACTCCGTCACCGGGGGAAGGCGCTGAAACCCTCCCCTGTACCCACAGAATGAGGATAAATTGTTTTGTGATAGTGCGCGTGTTCACTTGATGCTTTGGGATGGTCCAGACTACAATAAGAGCTAGACCTGGCAAATAAGTGATGGAGAAAAAATACACACTTAGTGGACTGGGACACGGAGCTCTCCAAAGTAAAGCTTGAGACATCTGGTTATTGTGAATAAGAAAAATGACTGCAAACCATTTGCCTGTTGATGTTAGAAGGGAAAGCTCCTGTGGTTGTTCCATGTCTGTTGTAATTGATTTCTCATGCTTCATCAGCTTCATTGAGTGGAGGAAATAATTTGAAGAAAGTGGCCAATTATCTTTGATACAATGAAGATGGAATAGCAATCAAAGTCTCATCAAAGTGTCATTAAATTCCAAGGTGCAGTTCCATAATCTGTTTACATTTACCTGTAATCTGTATTTGTTGAGAGGAGAACAAACACTTTTAAACAATCACGTATTTGTTTTCCCTGCAGAGAATCTGTAATAGTAATTCAAGCTTTACAATACCAGACAAATGTTTTGACAAATTTTGTTAAATTTGTTTCTCGCAATCTTGCTTGAGATTCTTGATTTAGATCTGAAGGCTTATGTTTATGTTTTTGAAATTAATTTGATTTTATATTATAAATTTGAACTTCTTTACTAACCAGTATTTAATAAACATTTATACACATTACATATACACACACATATACATATATATATATATATATATATATATATATATACATACATACATGCATACATACACACACATATATATATGTGTGTGACCAAATGTCCCCACAAGGATAGTAAAATCTGAAATATTTGACATTATGCACGAGGGGAAAAAAAATTAAAATGAGTAAATGATGTTTATCTGAAAGTGTAACAATGCAAACAGGTTTTCTGTAAGGGGTAGGTTTAGGGTTAGGGGATAAAAAATATTGTTTGGTCAGTATAAAAGTAATAGAAGTCTTTGGAAAATCCCCACAATTCACAGAAACAAAAGTGTGTGTGTATAAACACGTGTATGTGTATAAAATGTAATTAATACATTTATTTATAAATACATTTAACATAGGTACATACAGTACATTTACTATTACTATTTATTATATTAAGTATTATTAATATTAAAAATATTAAATAAATTACAGATAGTCATAGTTATTTTATATAATTATATTATAATTAATTTAATTACACTTCTGTTCATAAATTGAGTAAATTTTTTTAAATATATATATTTTTTTATTCTGCAAGAATTAAATGAACAACATTGACATTGATGCTTCTAAATTGTTAAAGATTTCTATTTCAAATAAATAATTTTTTTTCTTTTTAACATTCTATTCACTGAAGAGTTCGGGGAAAAAGTGTATTGTGGCTTGAACAAACGTTTTCAGTTTTAATAATCACAAGAACTTACTTAGAATTTAGCACCAAATCAGAATGAATGGTTTCTGAAAGGAACATGTGACGCTGAAGACTGGAGTTAGAAACGGTTCGTTTTTACTTGTAATCAATCAAATAAATCCAGCCTTGGTCAACATTGAAGACTTCTTTTAAAAACATTGAAATCTTTAAAAAAAAATCAAAAACATTAAAATTTAATCAAAACATAAAAAAAAAAACCACACCATTCAAAAACCAAAGATTTGAATGGTGGTGTATATAATTATTTATATAATTATTAAATGAATAATTTACTTAATTTTATTAATTTGTAATAAAAATTAATTTAAAACAAAATGTATTTGTAAAAAAAAAAAAAAATCCACAATTACATAGCATGTTATGTATGCTTTCTTTTAATCCATAGCAGGATATTTCCATCTCATAGCATTATTTCTTCAGATCTGGTATTTACCACATGAGGGAGACAAAGACTCAGCTATGGCCTCCACCAACCTCCTCTACCAAATTATTAATTTGTAATAAAAATTAATTTAAAACAAAAATGTATTTGTAAAAAAAAAAAAAAATCCACAATTACATAGCATGTTATGTATGCTTTCTTTTAATCCATAGCAGGATATTTCCATCTCATAGCATTATTTCTTCAGATCTGGTATTTACCACATGAGGGAGACAAAGACTCAGCTATGGCCTCCACCAACCTCCTCTACCAAAACACCTTCCTTTTCTCTGGCTCTCTGCTTACATTATCCAATGATGTCATTCCAATGTAAACATTTTGATTATGAAATTGAATTACAGAATTTTTCTAATCTTCCCCTAGAAATCAATACAGTATACTTAAACCTATATTTTTTTATTGTCATGTAAACTGCTTGGAGGGGCCTGTGTATTATTAGAAATCTCTCTCTTTTTTTTTTTTGCACTGGATTTTTTTTCTTCATGTGACAGAGCTGGCACTGCACCGGCAGATGAAAGCAGTAGCACAGCATTTGGTGTTTATTCTCCTACTGGTCTAACAGATGTTGAGCGAGGTGTCAGCAAAGTTGACACGGGTGGAAAAGTGCAGCAGTGACAGAGATGATCACACCCTCTTGTACTAGAGGCCACACATCCATGACTGTGACATGCAGAGGCAGTAAAGCTGTTCAGACCCTCTCCGTGGCACTGTAGGGTGTAACTGTCCCCTCATATCTCCCATGACTTGCTCATGTCAGACCTGCTGCCGTCCCCGCAGTGGCTTCCTGTTTTGGAGAAGCATTGGTTTCTCTAGGGGATTGGTAGAGACACCCATCCAGCTGCTCTCTGTCAGGCCTGTCCTGCGTAGGCAGGGGGAGTGGTTCGCTAATACAACGGGGGGTCTTCCACGCCTGGCTTCAGAATCATTATAACATTGCTCTGGATTGAAGCTACCATCCCCCAGCTTTCAATGTTCTTCCATGCTTGAGTTACTGTAAAGGACACTACAACCTGTTCTTAGGCCCAGTGTAGATCTTACGGTGGCCGAGAAGTGCTAAACAAATCACAATTCTGAAATCAAAATAACAAATTACAAACTACAAACGCAAATGCAAGTCTAAAAAACAAAATAACAATTCAGAAAGCACAACAACAATTCAGAAAACATTATAACAAGTCAGAAAACACAATGACAAATTCGAAAACAAAATAACAAGTCAGAAAACACAACGACAAATCCGAAAACAAATTTACAAGTCAGAAAACACAACGACAAATCAGACAAACCAGAAAAGGTAGGTATAGTTTGAGACAACTGGACGAGACATCTGTCAATCAACGTATACAGGGAAGTTGCGTTTGTAATTTGTTATTTTGATTTCAGAATTGTGATTTGCTTTGCACTTCTCGGCCACCGTAAGATCTGGTATTAAGATAGCTCATTCCATCAGAAATGGTCAGATAAGACACGTTGATTTTTATAGCCACTAACATGCAAAATGCTTTGTACTCCGTTTACACCTGTATTTGGCGTCGTCCTAAAATGATCCACCAAAACTGATGTTAATAACAGGAGTAATAATGGACCTGAAATTAGTGATTAGTGGAAAATGTCCTAATTGGCTCCTCAAATGTAAAACTTTTTTGTTACATTTTAAAACATTTTTTTTTAAACTTTTTACAGAAGTTCAATTTTACAAACTGAACTCAGACTTTCCACCTCCAAATGCCTTGGTTAAATGAGAACTTGTCTCACTTAGCCAGACTTAACTGTCAACATAAAGTCTGGTCCAAATTGTAGCTTGCTATCGGTAATAGTCAAACATTGCACATGAATGACCTCTCAAGTTCTATTTACGACTGGGAAACTCAGATAATTTTGGACAAGCTCAAACCATTTTAGACCCTGTTTAAACCTGAAATTTATAGTCGTCCACTTGTGATCAACTTGATGAAACACATCTTAATACCAAAAATGTGAACAGGGTATTTGATACCCGAGTGTCTGATTTCAACAGGCCGTAAATTTTAGACATGGTGGAAGAGAGAATTATTGCTGCAGTGACTGTTAAGTTTTATTACAGTTACATTTACATTTACAGTTACATACCGTTACAACAGTTACATTGATTTGTCTTGCTGTTGCAGTCATTTATATTTACATATGTGTATAACTATTTGATGCATATTGTATGTATTTTCCACTGTGCAAACAGCATTTATTTGACCGAAATTCCTAGATAGTGCAGTGAATGTATACACTAGTGTGGTTAATGTTTATATGGTTGTCAACGAATGCGACACAACATTTTATTCAATATCCATTTGATATTGACTTTCCATTTTGGCTTTAATAAGATTTCCCCTAGAAATAGGCAAGAATGAATCTGGCGTCCTCCATAATTCGTATTCTTTCTGACAACAAGGCACTTGAACCCGACAAACTTGTAATTACAGCTTAAGAAGTGGAATGTAGGAAATTTTAGCACATGAAGGCAGCATTATTCTGGTCAAGATGCCCACTTAGATGGGAAGAGAATAATTAGACTGACATAAAAAGTGACCATCCAGAGTTTATTTTGTTTTTACATGCCGTTTAGGGGTGGTTTTATTTGAAATAGATACAGATAACGCATTAATTGATTGGTGTAGAAAAACTGAATGTTTTCAGAGATTGGATGGCATTAACCTGGCATCACATCCAGCCAAATCCAGTGATTAGTTCTTACTCATTGTATTAACCAAGCACCTTCTAAATGTGCATCTGTTTACAGGTGGACTTGTGAATCTCAACAGACTAGTGAAATTGCATAGTCACACAATCAGATTGGAAATGCCAATTTTCGAGCTGTGTTGCCAGTTTTGTGCAACATGAGTCAAATGGTCAGTGAATGGACTGTGAGTGGTCCACCGGGAGGCTGTCTGCCGCTTGGACTAAATTAAAAGTGATCTTGACCTACTCAGAAACTCACTTACTCTCATTAATATTGTAATACATTAACAACTTCTTGATTTCAGCATTTTTTCACTAAGTTTTCAGATTGTGAATTCGGCACGTTCATCCTGAAAGTGTCATTTATGAACTTGAATTCTGAATGAATTCGAACTATATGAATAGAATATTCCAGCAGAACTTTTGGCCATTCTGTTGTTTTATTTCTCCGTTGCCCACCAACGTCTGTTCAAATTCAAAGACATGTCAGGCAGAGTTTGCTTTAAAAAGCAAGTGAGTAGAACAAATATTCAGCTATTCCCCAGGACCCATGTTAGTGGGCTTGCAAACACCATTGCCCGAAGTGTGTACCAGTGGAAGACGGAGATCAGTGAAGTACCCCCAAGCTGCCTCTCTATGGAGCCAACTAACAGTGGCAAGAGCTGGAGAAAAATGTATTAAGCCTTCTCTTTCCCTCACTGTGCCAGAAATGGCTCACCTTGCTCCCAATGGTAGAACCAGTATGCACTGACTGCTGGAAGAAAATTACCTTTTGTGGGAGTATTAATTCAGACATGCATCCTGCTGTCAAAGCATCACTCTAAACTCCTCTTCACACTGTTCTGTCTCTCTATGTGTCTCCAGTGCCCCAGTCTTCTTTTTTCATCATCAATAACTGTCTGCTGTCTGCTGAAGAATAAGTTATTCCCTCCAAGTCTCTTTTTTAAAGCTTGTTTGGATCCTCATTGTTTGATCTGGCTTGATAAATAAGACTATTGCAGTTAGAAATTCATGGCTGCCCTGTTTCATCAATAAATGATTAGTTTGCTGTGCTCTCTGGTGATTGATAGGTTGTGCATGGGATGTATTGGAACCAGATGAATTCAATACCGTGCCGGTCGCTGGGGAGCTACAAAGCATATCAGCTCATGAAAAATTTAGGTCAATGGAAAATGTGAAAAAGAGAGTAAAAGAGGAAGAACGAGCTGTGTTCGAAACAGTTGTTTCTTGTCATCAAAGGATTGTAGACACTCTTTAAGCATCAGATCGAATCAGCCATGTATGGTCTTTATTTGAAGATTGCTTTTTCTACTCTCGTAGTTCGCAAAACCAGGAGTGGACAGCGCCGGCTCCGTTTTTTACGCCAAACAGCCCAGGCAGGGCTTGAAAATCCCAGATCTCTTTGCTACGGCGGGTGAGTGTGGCAAGTTGTGATACGATTTTCCTTCTGTCTCCCTAGAGCTCCGTTTCCCGCCTCTTCCTTCAGCAGATACAGGCGTTTTACATAATTGCTGATAGGCATTGTGGCTGTTGTTTTTGTAGAAGTCTTATTTTCTCCTCTCTTGCCCTCCGTCTTTCTCTTATACCATCTCTGCTGTGTGATTGTGATGCATTTATGATTAAGGGAGTGAAAGAGAGTGGCAAAAAAGAGGGATCTTGTACTCTTGCATGTGTGCGGCGCAATACAGCGTGCGCGTGCGTGTGTGCGCCACAAATTGCTTTGAATTGACAGGCTGTTCTCTAAAGCCCACCTACATTAGGGAAATACGCTCTCATTCTTGGATAGAATGCCTTTCTGTGAGAGGAATATTAAAACTCAGCATGGATTCAAATGCTGCAGAGGGCTTTAAATCATAGATAAATTCAATCAGGCCATTTCGTTTAAAATGTATGCAAGTGCCTTGTTAGCTATGCCAGGGAAAACAAAATGTTTCCATTTTTTTTCTGATAGGTAATCAAAATGATCATAAGTTATTCATGAGAAATCTCTCTCTCATTCTCTCTGATTTTTCTTTATTGGTTCTCTATATTGGTTTCTGTTCTTTCGCTTTCATTCACCAAGTCTCTCTCACTCTGTTGCGTATAAAGACTTACATCATAACTACCGTTTTTGATACCATTATTGCGTAATATGTTATACATGGTCATTATGCACCAGTTTTTTTGAGGGGGCATGCAAGTTCATATCCTGACTGTATAATAATATAATATAATATAATATAATATATACAACAGTTCTTTCTGGTCCTCGAATCTGATTGGCTGTGAGGAGTGTGATATTCTAGTGATATCGGAACTCCAACCGTTTCACTTTTTGTATCACTCACTTGCTGTATTTCTCACAGCGAGTGTCATGGCGGACGCCCAAATCCAATAATTTTCCAATAATCCAATCATTTTATAAACAATACTGTTTTTTGTCACGGAATGTAACTTTGTAACTTTTTTTTTTCTTTTTTTTTAGTAATTATTGGCGACATCAGAAATGGCTATTATATAAATTATGCTTTTTTTTTTTTTTAACAGTTTAGCAATTTAAAAATGTTAAAAAATGACTTTTTACAGTCCCGCGGCTTTTGCCGCGGCACCCCGGTTGGGAAACACTGTCATAGCGGACGCCCAAATCCAATAGTTTTCCAATAATAATCCAATAATCCAATCATTTTATAAATAATACTGTTTTTTTGTCATGGAATGCAGTTTTAAGAGTTTTAAGGCAAGAATGTACTTTTTTAGACTTCAAATATGCAGTTAGTAAATAAAGATAATGTCCATTTGAAAATTTGCTTTGATGTTTTTAGAAGATGTGAGTTCCAGGGCGTCAGCTCCAGATTAAAGGATAGTGCGACAAAGATATCACTTTTCTCAGTGGATTTTCAAACTAATGTTTAATTGTGAATATGAGATTGAGCTGAAGAAAGAATGCTATATCAGATGCAGGTAATCACACTCTCTCAGTCCATCTCTCTCATAATACTCTACATAATAAAATGAGCTTTTAATACAGGCATACAAGAAGCTTTCAATGAAACAACGACGTTCTTTCATTACTAGTGACGTTTTTTAATTATTAGTAACAGAGGCTTGGGCTCAGTTATCAATTAGAGATTTGAATCTGTGGTGGAAGGAAGTAGTTCTGCACAAAAGAGGGTTTTTCAAAGACACTTCGTTGTTGTTTCTTATGTATTTACACACTTGTGCAGCGGACGCCCAAATCCAATAGTTTTCCAATAATAATCCAATAATCCAATCATTTTATAAATAATACTGTTTTTTTGTCATGGAATGCAGTCTTAAGAGTTTTAAGGCAAGAATGTACTTTTTTAGACTTCAAATATGCAGTTAGTAAATAAAGATAATGTCCATTTGAAAATTTGCTTTGATGTTTTTAGAAGATGTGAGTTCCAGGGCGTCAGCTCCAGATTAAAGGATAGTGCGACAAAGATATCACTTTTCTCAGTGGATTTTCAAACTAATGTTTAATTGTGAATATGAGATTGAGCTGAAGAAAGAATGCTATATCAGATGCAGGTAATCACACTCTCTCAGTCCATCTCTCTCATAATACTCTACATAATAAAATGAGCTTTTAATACAGGCATACAAGAAGCTTTCAATGAAACAACGACGTTCTTTCGTTACTAGTGACGTTTTTTAATTTTTAGTAAAAGAGGCTTGGGCTTAGTTATCAATTAGAGATTTGAATCTGTGGTGGAAGGAAGTAGTTCTGCACAAAAGAGGGTTTTTCAAAGACACTTCGTTGTTGTTTCTTATGTATTTACACACTTGTGCTGTTGAACTGTTGTATAAATGCAATATCGCACTCGTAGCCGTGCGATATGGCTGTGTATCAGCACACTGTGATTACCTATGGCACTCGGCCCGAATCATAGCTGTGCCTATATACAGCCATATTGCACTGCTACTCGTGTGATATTGCTCATATAATATAACATTTTTGGGTCAGCAAGATTTTTAAAAAGAAATGATTACTTTTATTCAGTATGTGTGGATGCATAAAATTGATCAAAAGTGACAGGTAAGACATTTATAATGTTGCAAAACATTTATGTTTTAAATAAATGTGGTTCTTTTGAACCGTCTGTTGATTAAATGAATGCAGTTTTGGTGAGCATAAGGCTGGCCACACACTTGAAGGTTTTAAGGACGATTTTAAGCCCAATTTGCACCCCCAAACGACCGATTTGAGGCTTGTCGCAAATTATTTTCTGTCCTGTCTCTATTGTTTGGTGTCATTACAGGTAATTTAACTGCTCCTGTTTGAGACGGACCATCCCCAAACTCAAATGTTTGATATTTATGACTCTTGATCGGGCTGCCTCTGACGTGATACAGCCAATGAGAGTGAGCAAGTGTCACCAACCGGATGTTGTGTGCTTCTATAGTTGAAACTTGGTAGCCACAAACATGCCACGAAAAGTAGAGTACTGAGAAAGAACATCACCCATATTCTTTTTTTTAAATTTTGTTTTTCACTGTACAACAGAACACGCGCCAGAAGAGCCAGCTGACAACGTCGATTGTTCGCCATGTGTTTTTCTTCGAGTCTCCTTAAGATCTTGTGTCACTGTGAAATTATTCCTACAGTCAACAAGTGTGTGGTCTCGTGGTCTGATCGAATCATCTAGTGTGCACATTCAGAGGATTATAAGGCTAAAAATCTGTTGAAACTTTCTTCAGTTCACTGTCTTGGTTCAGATAAGATTTTAAAATCGTCTTGTGTGTCCCAGGCCTTAGAAAGATACAAATCTTTTGAATGATAGTCTAATATATTAATATACAATAATATTTAAGTAATTCATTTTATATTATATATTTTAAATAATTCATTTATTATTTCTTTACAAAATTTGTGCAACTTTTTAAAAATTTTTTTCTTATTTGTTGTTTATATGTGTATATATATTTTTGTTATATTCAAAATCCATTTGGCTCACAAATCTGAGGGGGCACACGTGAATGAGATTGACACTTTTTGTGCACTGGATTAACCGAACAAGACTTTGACTGAGCAAGTGCATTGTGTCTTTTACATGCCATGAGGTCATTGAGTGAGTAATTGCAGGCGCTCCGGAGCTGCCATCACTTTGCTCATAAGAGCCGAGCCAGCAGTCCTTGTGATGGAGTTGAGTTTCCCTCACTCATGCAGATCTCGCATTAGCCTCGGACGGTATGTCTGCAGCCATGCTTATAAAAGCCCCTCGATGAAGGCTCATACCTACTCTGGATACTTGATCATGTCCCATGGGGCAGAAGATCCACATAATGCCATTCCTAATGGCAGAAACTGAAAAAATAAAACAAGAAAACCTCCTTTTAACTACATCAATCGCTGCAGAGGTGTAATCAAACATGCCATGACTGCGAGAGCCATTCCCATCACCTACTGGAGGAGGAGTGCATCTGCTGTCAGCCTATCATTAGCCAAGATTGTCTTACCTTTGAATGTCGAAGGCACAGATGAATGCAGTTTGCATCTCAGGATCAAGAAAGCCCATTAAATGCTTTGTGAAGTGCTGAGCTTGGACGGACTTGATTTGATGTGAGGTGAAGTGTTCTGGGTAATGCTGAAGGATGTTTATCACTTTAACCCTCATGTCTTGTCTGC